ATGTTTTTCGATGTTAAATATTCTCGATATGAGACATTCTCTTTTTATGTGTTAGTAATCCGAATGTCTTTCTTGAACTGGCAGCGAAGAGTTCTGCGTGAAGGGTCATAAAACAATTAAGATTGGTCCGAGAGAAATGAATTAGTTATCAGTATCTTATCTTTTAATGTTTTAATGGCCCCTCTGTGTTCTTAGGTCTATTTCCATTTTCGTGTGTTTCTGTCAGCATGCGTGCATATATGTGTATATTCCCTCTCCATACATACACACTGTCTCAGTACGAGGAATTAGTAAACATATTTGTACACATACACAGATACACACACACCCTCCCACTACAAAGAATCAGTATATATATATATATATATATATATATATATATATATATATAAAGTATAAATATAAAAGTGAACACAGAAGTCAACACTCAGAGGCGACATGCTGTTTCATGCTAGTCGCAATCGTCAGGCGGCCTGAAGATTTGCGCCTTGCATGAAACATCCTGTCACCTCTGAGTGCTATTCAATGTTCACTTTTATATTTATCCCATAAATATAGCACACCTTAAAACTATATTTTTTCATATATATATATATATATATATATATATATATATATATATATATATATATTTTTTTTTTTTGAAAAATATGATTCCTTCGCTACATAAAAGTTCTCGTTTCAAAAACAAGAACCAAAACCTCTGTTTCATCCTCAAGCGAAATTTTTTGAAAATTTCGCTTGAGGGTGAAACAGGATGAAAAATATTCAAAAACTTTGAGGTTGAAACAGAGTTTTTGGCTCTTGTTTTTGAAACATGGGAACTCTTATGTAACGAAGGAATCATATTTTTTTAAAAATAATTATATATATATAATTTAGGCTCTACTTTTGTATTGAGAACTGTTTTTTTTTAAATAAAGACAACAATACTAAAGAACTTCGGATTATTGACCAAACGTGTTCTTTCCTATTTTTCTATTTATTTGCACACACACGCGCTCGCGCGCGCACACACACACACACACACACACACACACACACACACACACACACATATATATATATATATATATATATATATATATATATATATATATATATAAATTGTAGTCGTTGAGTTTGTTGTACGTTGTAGATATTTTAGGCGGACGGTCTGATTGTGAATGGGTTACCACTAATACAAAAGACTGTTTTTGTTTTTGTTTTTTTCTTGATTTTTTTTTTCAATTCCGAAAATGATGAACATTTCCCACTGGCTAATAGCCTCCAGACACCTGATGTAACTCGATCCTTTCATCGCGATAATGAGAATTTGATTGTGAGCGAACCTCTGCGTTCGGAAGTTAGGGTCATCGGTTAAAGGTCAAGGGACAGAAGGGAGGCAGGAAATACTCTAAAGGTATTAAACCGAAAAGGTGAGTGATAAAAGATGCTGAAACTTGAGAAAGAAAAAAAAAAGCTGGAAAGGAGGAAGAGTAGTAATTGGCTTGTCTGTCACCTGTCTCTTTTCACTTGATCCTAGCCCACCCAGTTAATTCAGCATGTTCAACGAAAATAAATGAGTAAATATATATATATATATATATATATATATATATATATATATATATATATATATATATATAATATGTCGAAATGGGTATCACTGTGCGCGTGTGTCAATATGATTTCCTATTATGCGAGACTCGCACACTAACGACCGTGACCAACGTTTTGGCTTCGATCCAGGTGGCTTGTTTTTTAATATTATTTTACACAAATCAAGAGGACGCGAATCTCGGATTTTAGTTCCACTGTCGATTATTTCGAGGCTAAAAAATAAAGAAAAAAACATTGCATTCGTAAATTCATGGAGATTTTATTGCATATTTGATTTTCTTATTTATCTATATATAAAATTTTGTAACTTCCGTTAGTCCGTCCATCCGTCACACCCTCTAAAATGGCCATGCATTAAAAAAATCGAAACCAAATTTTGGGGAGAAGTGGAAACAGATAAAAGGAAACAAAGTCCGGTTGATTTTACTAGGGTGCGCAATATTTTTTTTTTTTTTTTTTTTTTTTTGCATATCTTTTCTTGAAGAATATGCAAGAATCCAGCTTCCAGTTCGCCCTGCATTTGCGAGAACTATAAAGAAATCACAAGGCCAAACGCTTCAAAAAGTTAGAATTTGACTCCAGAAATAAATATTTACACATAACCATTTGTATGTTGCATGCTCAAGAGTAAGAAATCCTTAGAATTTATTCTTCGCTGTTAAAAAGGAATTTCCTTAAAAAAGATATTGTTTACCATGAAGTCCTATAAATTAAATTAAATTAAATTAAAGAAATTATTAAACCGCGAAGTAGGGTTTTTGTCAAAGTATGTTTCCAAACAAATCAGCATATTCAAATTTCATCGATTAGTTCAACTGTGAGGATTTCAATATTGTGAGCGTGTTGCAAAAATTGTTAAGTGACAAATCTTTTCAATATAACTACTCTGTTAGTGAGGTATAGAACACGTCAGCTACATCCCATGCTGAGAGGTACGACGTTCCCCCAAATAGGGCTACCTTTGGACTCGGTTATAGGCAGTCTTCAACAGTTTTGACTCTCATTCAAACCCGCATCTATTCTAGCGTATACCGTAAAACTGTTTAATTTAATATAAAGTCTTCCTTTTGACTTGAGTATAAATCTGAAATCATATCCAAATTTTTGACTCTAGTTTAACACGATGACTACCAAAGATCAATTATGAAGTCTGACTTCAAACGCCAACTTTATAATAGCCAATTTAAGTAATAAAAATATTTGAGTCGATTTATGGATTCAACTGAAGTCTTAACATTGTTTACATATTAAAATATCACTGTGAATAAACTCGTTGTTGATTGATTCAAAAATCAACATTCGAGCAGCTAGTCTGGCTATTGGACACTTCTGTAGCTTTTCAAATGCTTCGTTTATACAGGTTGCGATGTCATCTAAATTACGCAGAATCTCATTTTAACAGATTATCTCATTTTTAACAGATTATCTCATTTTTAACAGATTTTACCAAATGACACAAAAATATCTTGAAATACTAAAGAGTAAATTTATTCAATAAAATTGCTATTTGCTTCAAACATGGACTCCATACGACTTCGGAATCTCCTGCAATTCTTCTGAGCGGTCTCCTTGCTTAAGTTGGTGAATGCTGCCATAATCCTTGCCTTCAGTTCATCTTTGGTGTTACAAGGAGTTTTGTTGGTCTCTCACTTAAACTGCACCCCACACATAATAATCAAGGGGGTTGCAGTCTGCGGAGTTAAGTGGCCAGATATAAGGCGTGATGTGGTCACAGAAATTGTCTGACAGCCAAGACTAAGTCCTCCTGCTTGTGGGGTATGGTGCAGTGTACTGTTGCTAGAATATTTAACCGCCACCCCCACACACAACGAGGGTTGTATGTGGCACAAGGCCGAGAAATGTGTATACAACAGAAATCAAAAGAAACAATAACAATCTGACTAAAGACACAAGACAAAGATATAATGGGGTAGATGCCAAAGCAGCGACAGAAACGGTAAAGAAAGCAACCAATATGAAACAAGAAAATCGAGACGATAAAAATGGAGTTCACTGTCTACTTATGAGTGAAGTCGAAAAAACTAGTTTAATATCAAACAGTGCAAAGAACTGAAACGGAAACTTAACATCAAACAAGATGATATACGAGTAGCTAAATAGACACTGTAGCACCAGATTTAAGTAAAGAGGCTCAGCATATTCGACAAAAGAAGCAAGTTCTTTAGGCAAACAAGATCATTAAAGCTAGCAATAAATTCTCAACGATAGATATAAAAATACCACCTACTAAGGAATTCTAGAATAAGATATGTAAGAGCAAAAACAACATGGACAATACCAACATTTTTTAAATGCCTTGTCTCTTCAGAAAACGTCTCTCCATAGATTGCTTTTCTTTATTGTCTGAATTTCAATGAATGCTTAGAAAAGTTAGTGGGGCAGTTTTAAGTTTTCTACAGTGTGAAATTCATAGTTTTCCTTTTTTAGATTGGTGCCCATCAAGGTTAGAGAGCCCAGTCCTCCTTACTATTTAATCTATAGCTGGAGGAAGAAAGTACTTCATGAATTTCCCAATAGCATTTACGTGAAAGACTTGCCCGGAATTCGAACACAACTTGATGAATTCAGTTTCCGCACAGATACCTGATACATTAGCCGCACATCCTGTATGTACAGACATAAAGAGAAGCGAAACTTATCTGATATTGACACTACCTAAGATCAATGTAGCCATCAACAAAGCACTGGCAATAAACAGAATTGACAATTTCTGGATCAAGAACCAACCCAATATCCACGAAAACCTCGCATGGGACATCATCAAGAATCTAGAAAGCAGTTCCAAATTACCAACATGAGGAATTACGTACTTGCTCTCAAAGACAAAGAAGGCACAGAATTCGAAGAATTAAACATTTAACACTTGCCTCCTAACAATATACAAGATCTTCACCTCCAGAATCACCGAGAAAACCGACACTTTCCTCGCCAAAGAAACTCATTACCAGCGAAAGAGAAAAGGTGCAAGGACCACTTACTCATTCTTTTTCTTTTATGTACCGCGTCCCTCCAGGACGTAGGTGATCATGGCTCTCCACAACTTTCTATCTTGTGTGGCTCTTAGGAGTTCTTCTCCGAAATAGGGTGGACCTGGGAACAACAGCAATTAAGAGGTTTTCCGCGCCCCTCAAAACCTGCAGTCTCTTGATCAGAGACCTGGCCGACGAATGTAGTTTATCGTCATACCCAAGATTAAAATAAGCGTTGTAATAAAGTCAACAAAAAACGAAATACTTATGATACAGACTAATCCATTTGTGCGTGTGTGCGCGCGCGTGCGCAAATGCGCGTGTATTGTTCTCTTTTGAGATTAATATCTTGACTTTCTGATACCAATGACCTAAACAGGATGTCAGAGAATATAAGTATTTATACACGACTTCTTCGTCTGTCTGTCTACCTCTCTATAGATAGATAGATAGATAGATAGATAGATAGATAGATAATCACTTCTCTCTCTCCCCATCTCTCTCTCACTCTCTCTCTCTCTCTCTCTCTCTATCTGTCTGACTTCCTCTCCCTTTCTCTCTCATTACTAATAGTATTCTTTTCATTACATTCTCTTAAGTCAAGCTAAGAATTTAATTCATAATATTACGAAAATCCTAACCCCTAATTTTAACGCTAAATCTTAACCTTAACCGAAAGTTATTTTCGTTCAAAAAAATTACAACCGAAAGTTTTGCCTTTTTGGGGTTCCATACTTCAAAATAATACGCACATTTACCTGAACACAAAATCGGTATCCAACTCTGCATTATACGGATTTACTAAGCCCGGCTTAGATGTGGCACAAAGCCGAAAGTATGGGGCACCCAGTAAGGATCGAATTCACTACTCAGTCATAATTGATCTAGCAAGACAAGTTTTCTAGCCATTAAACCACGTCGAGGGGCCCTCCGACTCGGCATTATACATATATTGTAAATGAAAAAAACTCTTTAGAGACATTTTACTCAATCTCAACTATAAATATTTTTTCTTAAAAAAAAAAAAAAAAACAAATCGAAATATATAAAAAATACATTTTCTAGTGAGAAAAAAAATCGTCCCCGAAACCGAATCGTAGTCTTAATTTATAAAGGATTTTTTTTTTTGTTAACGATATTGATTAATAGCGGAACAAATAGTGAGAATCGAAACCACTACACGAGCAATTCTTTCCTAAAGTTATGTTCGCTTTCAGAAACTGAATTGCTTATTTAAAATGTTTGTGATTGTTAAGCGGAACTGCGTAAAGTCGATCGACTCTATGAAATATGATAAACTCCTGGTATGTGAGAACGAGGTGAAAAGGTTAATGGATGCTGCAACTTACACAAAGGGGACCAAGAGCCCACCCTTCCAGGCGGGAATGAAATTTGAGCAGAAGAAAATAGCAGATCAGTGATTGTAACGTCCTAATTCATAAAGAAAATCAAAGATGAAGTAACACAGCCAAATAAAACATTCTGGATATCAACTTTCTGTTTATAAACAATTCATAGACACCTCGCGCCAATGGGATTCATTTTCCATTGTCAGTCACCATGAACAGATAGTTTCAATGGATTGATAAGCAATCGCTCGTGATAGCATGGTCGGATGGTCGATTTGAGTCCAACTGGGCATTTGTTTAATTCAGACCGGTATAACAGCCCATAATATAACTCTCCCAGAAACGAGTTCATCCTGGGTTATTCCAAAATAAGCTGTTTTACAGTAAAAATATTAAAAAACAGGATACACGTTAGAGTAATGGTTAGTGGCTCGGATTGAGGAAACGGAAGGCCGAGTTCGAATTCCAGCCGAGTTCAGAAAGGTATAAATCAATCTCTTCTTTCGCCAGATGTGGGTAAATAGCAGGACAGACTGTATCCTACAGCCTTGGGCGGCAACCGGTCTAGGAGAAGGAAAAACTCTGAACTCAAAACCAAACTGGAGAGGGTTGGGCCCAGTCAGACTCTTACCCAGGAAACACAGCTACTACTACTGCTGAGGCTGCAGTACATGGGGTTCCCTTTACGACCCTAATTGGTTACAGGTTTTTAAAAAAATATTAAGAAACAGAAAATTTTCGTTAGAAACAAAAACAATGAACTTTTATCCAATGTCAGTCCTCATATATGGCAGTGGATGCTGGACAATCTTCTCACAGATGAAGAAGAGACTTGAAGCAACACAATCTGGTTCTACAGAAGGATACTGAGAATACCATGGACTGAACACCAATGTTAGGGATAATTCTGTGATTGAGATATCTATTTTCCGTAACCATCTCTGGTGAAAGTCAAGTGGTCTTTTGGTTTTAAATGATTTTCGCTGTCTTCCTCTGTAATCGCTTTGTATTGCAAAGTGTCCTTATCAGCTCTACAATTAACACTGTGACACTGAGGCCATGAGCTGGTTAAATGTTGATTCTGAGCAGAAAAGAGTTAAACTCAAAATAGAATATAGGCCGGAAGATATATATATATATATATATATATATATATAGAGAGAGAGAGAGAGAGAGAGAGAGAGAGAGAGAGACAGACAGACAGACAGACAGAGACCGAGACAGAGAGAAAGAGGTGATATTTTTCTTGGTGAAAATGGGACCGTCTGGATTTCTTCTCTACTAAAGTTTATTTTTCCTTATCTAGCGAGAGTCTGGTATGCCGACGAAAACAGATTTGGAGAACAAGTTATGAAAAAAATTCTCTCATCAGTAGTCTGGCTTATATTTTCGCTGGACAAGGATAATTCCAGGAAAATAAAAACGAATCAGAGAATTAAAATTAATGACTGGAATAAAACTCGACCCCTTCGTCTACGCGCTTTAAACATTAGAGTTGTCACAAAGACAGTTTGACCGGCCTGACAGATGGGCTGAGGTAGAATGCTGGGAATGTAGGAGAAAGAGAGAGGATTTAGCACCACTTGTGTGGAGTGATGGTTTGAGATGTGAAGTGAAGCATGTTGGAGTTAAGGGAAGAGAAATCTCCGTAACTTATCCAGAGAAGGTGAATTATTCTCCAAAGTTGGAAAGTTGATTAAGAAAGTAAAAATAAAGAATTGGGCTGATAACCCCTGTATCGTGGGCCTCTGGAATTCTCGTCAGCTATCACCAGATTTCCTGATCCCAAAGAACTTTGAACCCAAATTATTAGGCGAAGTACAGTGTCACTATAGAGATTGATACGTGAAGAGTTAATTTTTGTTGTACCAAGAGCTATATAAACCAATTGAAGATTAACCCCATGAATCTTTCGTTTTATTTTTTCATAGTGAAGATATTTTTCTTCCTTAATGTAGCACCCGCCACGGCTTGAACCAGCGCTGCGATTACTACGATATTGGAACTTCTACTGCTCTAAGATCAAAAACATAGCATGGGCAGAGTTGCTGTGGAACGAAGCGGCCAGTGGCCAACAACCAGTTTGAACCAGCGTCAGCATTGACCAGCTCAGAGTTAACCCTGTAGTTAAAACGTAGTCCTAAAACCCAGAGGTCCTAAGACCATCGGGTATAGGCGGTGGCAGGTGGTGCCATAATACCAATGCAGTTGATATTTTCATGGTTCTTTTACTATAGACCTTTCCCTGTATGTTTCTGACTTATAAATGAGTTACCCTGCATTTCCCGAGTCTACCTGGCTGCAGTTGTATAAGTGCACCCCATGTATACCCACACCCTCTGTCTAGAAATGTCGGCCTGCATCCCGGCTTGCATGCATCATCCGTTGGTATACTAAGCTACTCCCCCACTCATTTTTTTACAGTATGTCCTTCGCAAGTGTATGATTGTTCTTCATAAAGGAATTTCATTGATAAAACCTTCTTGTGTGGGTGTTGCTCGAGGTTAAATTGTTTCAATGTTTTAGATATTCAGTAAATTTCCTATGGCCGTAAGAACTTTTAAATAGTAAGGCGTTGTTGACAAATCTATTAATGAAACAAAAACAGGAATTAAGCGTCAGAGCTTGATTCAACTGCAGGTGCATGTTTACTGGAAAGCTGGGCTTAATAAAATGTTCTTCTGGAATTTTCCCCTTTTAACGCTCTAATAATCTTTCTCAAACAATTTTTGCATCAAAGGTTGATCGAATGCCAATTTAGAATCATATGAAGAAAGTATTGGCTAAATGATAAAAACTTATATTGGACTTTGTCACAGATTTCGTCCAGTTAACTGAAATAATATAAACCAAACATTCACGCAAGACAATTTATGTGTCATATGTAATTTACATGGCAAATTTGGAAAGCATCTGATGAAAAACTAGGGAGTTATGGTCGAAAAACGGGCTTTTTGAACAGTTTTTTGTGGTTGTTCGTTATATGTGGAGAAGCGAGCAGGACTAAAACCACACTATCAAATTTCTTGCATGGTGGTAATTTTTTGCGACATGTTTGAAGAAAGTCGGATAAAAAATTACGAAGTTATTCAAGTTTTTTTTTATTTTAAGTAGTACGAAAAACCCGATTTTTTCACAGTTTTTTTTTTTTTTTGCAATTTTTGTGTGAAGTCAATGTCGCAGGAAAACTAGCAAGCACTCCACATAAACCTCGTAATATGAGCTGATGTTTTGCATTAAGTGCAAAGAACATCCGTTCATTCTGTAAAAATTTTGTTTGCGTGTAACTTTTCCTTGGTTTTGGCAAAAAGTCATCCCCACATTCAGTTTTATCGATTTTTCTGCCAAATCCGGAGCCTGGAGATTGAAAAGTTGGTCTTGAATTACTTTAATAAATTTGCAATGAGCGCGTACAATTTCATCGAAATCGGTCGAAAAATGTCGACGTGCATAAATAGTACACACACACACACACACACGGACATCTTCTGTTTTATAGATATAGATAATGTCCTTTAAGTTAAGGCTTCGTTAAATAAAATCCATATCTTGTAGGTCTAATAAAAAGGCATTAATAAGTTCCGTATATAGAGACTGAAATTTACCTTAGACTGTCTCCCTGGCTCAATACTTTCATTGGTTCTTTCTTCACTGGAAAACATTGGTGGAAAATATCTCATGTAGAGGCAACATGTGTAGAATCCTGTTCTTGCAATCTTTCAATCTGAGCTTTAAAATATTCCCTTTGTTCAATGGGAACCTGAAATTTCAAAACATGTATATATATATTTAAAAACAAATCTAGCATACATAATAAATATGAAGGAAAATATCATAGTATTATTTACCAAAGAAGGGAAGATTATCAGAAGTAAATTCATATTTTTCAATTACTTTAAATCAGGACATGAACTAGTTCAAATTAAACAAAGATGAAAAACAAGCATAGAATTAAGATTAACTTCTTGTGAAGGGGACAAGTACAAGCATTAACCTATTTTAATAGAATTTCAAAAGTAAATTTGAAATCAGAAAGAAAGAAAGAAAGAAAGAAAGAAAGAAAGAAAGAAATTGTATTACTTAACTTACCTAAATGGAAATAGTTTCTTCCACGGAAATAAACAAACACAACGTTTTAAGTAAATATA